TGTGTGACGAAGAGAGCGAATATAAGTCCGTGCTTAAGACGATTTTGAATATAAGAACGGACTATGGGTTTGTTCGTTTTAGCTACACTGGGGCTGCTCTGGGTCTGCTCTACACAGGATAATACAGGACAGATAAATAGTTTGTCCTGTATTATCTTGTTTAGAGCAGACCCAGAGCTGCCCCAGTGCAGCTAAAACGAACAAGCCTTATGAATACCGCCCTGGGTCTATTTATATAAGTCTATGCATAAAATCTTACTTTAGGCGAGGGGAGTGAAGTCAGTTCCGCGGTGCGGGGAATAGCAGTCACGTGATACTTTGGTGCCACATTGGCATTAGTTGTAGCATAAATACGGCACCAAAGTACCATGTGATTGTAGTCCCCGCTCCCCGAAAGCGACTTCACCCCCCGCGGCTTACACTCCGTCTCCTTATTCCTATGTCTATGGCTAAGAACAAAGAATAGAAACGTTAGACAATAGAAAGAGAAAGAATATGGGAGGGCCATCTTTATCTTTGTCTAATGTTGCGCGCGCATCGAACTTCGAAAGCTGAGTGGGGAGACGCGTTGTTTTGAGTTTTGAGGAGAAGTTTCTTTAGTAAACGCTGTGATCTGTGATAGAGAGATATTATCATTTTGCTCGTTCTTACAGAAGACAAAGATGTCTTCGCACGATAAATTTCTGTCTTATTTCATTATTATTTTCAACGTGGCTTACGCAACATTTATAAAATTATAACAAATTATGACGAAAGCGTGTGTTGTATGTAAAAAACAACTCATTCCCTTCGATAGATCTCGAAGTTTTCACAAGCAAGTATGAGAAAAATGTTTACGATATAATGTAGTATCAGTAATTAAATATTATTGATAAATTTATTATTATTCTAAGTAGTTATGATATAACCAAAATATCACTTAACCTAAAATTCATGTGAAAATGCAAAGTATTATTTTATCTTTAATTCCGAATTACAAATTTCTTGATAATATTGAGTTAAAAAAGAAATGGATGGAAGCTATTAGTGTGACAACAATTTCAAGTTCAGCCAGACTGTGTAGTGATCACTTCCATAATGATTTGTTTCAACAGATTGATGGATATACAACTTTGAGACGGTTAACATCAACTGCTGTTCCTTTTGATCAAAACGACAATCAATTATCTTTACAAATCAACAATGTACCTACTCAAGTACTTGGCGATGTAATTAATTATCAAGATATGACAAGTGCTGAAAATACATCATTTTCAACAAATACAGTTACTAGTGGCTTTAAGACACATATGGCTGCTTTATGCTTCGGTCTTAATCTTAATCTTAGTCTTATGGCCGGAGCACAGACTTTTGCATAAAGCATAACGCATAAGCATAAGGAAATTGATTGGTCCATTTCCTTATGCATTTGCTTATGCTTATATATAGACCAATCAATTTCCTTATGCTTATGCGTTATGCTTTATGCAAAAGCTTGTGCTCTCGGCTTTAGTCTTAACTTAATCTTAAGGACTCGTTTATGCTTCCCTGGAAATTCGGACTACGCATGTGCAAATGTAACAAAACCTAACCTAACCTAACCACAAATTGTAATAGATCCCGGTGCTGCAAATTATAATGAATGTTAAAATGAATCGTCAGCGGCAAAAAACTTTAATGTTTGGAATGGCACTTTTGTTATCAAGTGCCTATGCAGCATGTGTATTATTAAAAAATAAAAAATAAATAAAAGAAAACCACGGAGATACGCTGTTCGGCCACTGAATCGAAAAAGACAGGAAACTGGTCATTTCTTTTCTTTAATGAAAGATATGCTGAATATTGAATACGATCAGGAACAATTTTTTAAATATACACGGATCGAAAACCATTATTTCGCGTGGTTTCGTGCTGCGTCGGACGTCAGACTTACCTCATTGGCCCGGCCTTAGGACATTAGAGACTAAAGTTAAAAGATGGGATCTTTCCAAGATTAAGATTAAGACTAAGATTAAGACTAGGGAAGTATAAACGCCCTTATGGCATTCTACG